ATGCTGAGTTGGGAGGGTCCCATCAGGATCGTGAAGCCCAACTCCTGTCCCTCTGTAGGGCACCCCTAGAATCACAACATGTGCCTTAGAGCATCATCCAAATGCTTCTTGAACTCAGGCAGGCTTGGTGCTGTGGCCACTTCTCTGGAAAGCTTATTCCAGTGCTCGACCATCTTCTGGGTGAAAAATCTTTTCCTGATATCCGACCTAAACCTCCCCTGTTTCAGTTTCCTGCCATTTCCCCGAGTCCTGTCATTGATCACAGTTGTGAAGAGATCAGTACCTGCCCCATCTCTTCCTCTCAGGAGGAAGCCATACACTGCAATGAGGTCACCCCTCAGCCTCCTCTTCTCCAAGTTGAACAATCCAAGTGACCTCAGCTGTTCCTCATAAGTCATCCCCTCCAGACCCTTCACCATCCTCCTGGCTAACCTTTGAACCCTCTCCAATAGCTTGACATCCTTTTTATATTGCGGTGCCCAAAATTGCAGGCAGTACTCAAGGTAAGGCCTCACCAGTCCAGAGCAGAGCAGGACAATCGTCTCCCTTGACCTCTGGCAACACTCTGCTTGATACACCCCAGGACAGGGTTGGCCCTCCTGGCTGCCAGGGCACACTGCTGGCTCATCTTCAGTTTGCCATCAGTCAGGTCCTTCTCTGTCACACTGCTCTCCAGCCACTCATTCCCTAGTAGTTGCTCCATCCCAGGTGCAGAATCCAGCACTTGTCCTTTTTAAACTTCACGTGGTGGTGACTGCCCATCTCTCTAACCTGTCAAGGTCTCTCTGCAGGGCCTGCCTGCCCTTGAGGGAGTCAACAGCTCCTCCCAGGTAGTGTGGCTTGAGAATACTAAAGCAATGTGTTTTGAAATCTGTCTGTATAAAGGCAGCCCTGTTGACATGTGGTGTGATTTGAAAATGTACATTCAAGTTTAAGTTCTGCAAAACATTTCAAGGTGAGATTGGCTGGCTGGTACCTTCATTGGTGAAACAACGTACCAGAGAGTAAGGTATTCTGACTGTTGCCTCTGCTCCTCACTTCTCCTTTGGCATCACGCAGATTTGTTCAGAATTTGGCTCACTCCAACTCAGCTAGTAAGACTTTGGAGGTGTTCTGAGCTTCAGGTGCTAAATGCATGCTCCAGCCCCATTCTGTGGCCATATTAGGACAAGACACAGCTCTCACCAGCCTCACAGCCTCAACACTCACTAGCCAATTCCTTCTTCTTTCACCCTTGAGTTTCTGTAGAAGGAAGCTTGAATATGTGGGCTCTAAACCCATCTGTCATGACACGTGTAGGCCAAGTGGTGTATGAGACTGAGTTGCAGGGAAGTGATGGTTCTAGCTCTGGCTGTGGTTTGCTGTGCTGCTATTGATGAGAGATCTTTCTCTGTTCATGTCTGATAAATAACTGTTCTGTTTCCTACAGGTGAGTCTCCTGCTGTCCGGCTGCCGGCTGCTCCCATGCAACACGCTGGGCCCATTGCCCTGTTCCAGACCACTAGTGCCAGCACCGCATCAGTGGCTGTTCCCACTCCAACCCTGCCCCTGCACTCTGTCATTTCAACACAGCACTTCGCTGCACCTGCTCAGACACCAGCTCTTAATCTATCATCTGTGCTCAATTGCTCTCTGAAGAGACCTGCACCCGTTGTCATTGAGAGCTTCAACAGAAGCCCAAGTAACATCACCACCACTAATGGCAGATTTTCTGTCCCTAATACTGAACCCCCAAGGGAGTACCCAGGGGCTTCTCTTTTCCCTAGAGGTGTACCTCTTCCCAGAGCTACCCCTTTTCTTCACTCACGTATCTACCAGTCTCCTCCCATAGGTCAGCCAGCTGGTCTGTTTGGAGTACCTCCTCAGTTTTCATTTCACCATCCTTACTTTGTACCTGGACCTCACTATTTCCCCTCAAGGTAATGAAATCCTTCGTTTCAGTACCTATAAGAACAAATGCTAAAAGGTAGAGAGTCTGTTGACCTACAGAAAACAGATGGAGCATTCAGAAGAAAAGATGCTTTTACCTTCCTATAGCTCCTGTGTGGTGGGACCTGCTGGCCTGAGGCTGCTCATAGCACATGCTCAGTTACTGAAGGCTCCATAGTACTGCTGCAGCAACTGGCACTCTCAAGCCCACAGTAAATGGAAGTATCTTCTCTCCAATTTATGTGCAGTTGATTTCTGCAGAAAAGCATTAGATCTAGTGTAAAGATACGTTGAAAATGAACAGATTAATTAGGTGTGTGAGATGTCTCCTGGGTACTGTGATTGCAGCTGTCAAAACTACCAGTGTTTCTGAAACCCAGCCTGGTGGGAAATGTCTTCAGAATTCTTATGAGAGTAGTAATTCCTAGTTTTTCTCACACAGTCTTTGGGTAGTCAATCAGAGAAGATCACCTAATCAAAGAATGTACAAGCTAACACATGTATTGTCCTGTGGGTATTTCCTAAGCCAAGCATGGAAAGGAAGGACCAGTGCTCTCCCAGCAGCTGCTGTGCTGCTCAAATGCAAGAATTCTGACAGTCTGTTGATGTGCTCTCATTTCACAAAACCATGGCCATACATATTCTTTGTAAAGCATAGTTTTTCTTTTGAGACCATGCAAAATGAAACATAACAAGTTTTATATGCTGCTCTTTCCTATTAACAGCCATAACCTGCATGTTCCCACAGCAGTAAGTCTACCTGGCCAGAAATTAGGGCTGGTGGTGACCCATCAAACTAAAGAATTTAAAGAGCTGATAAGTGCAATAGAAGATATTTCTATTTTTTAGATCCTTTAAAGAAACACAGGTCACATATTCCCAAAATGGCTAAAGATGAACTTTGCTTAGCTCATGGTCTCTGAAATTAAAGAGTTTTGTAAGGCCTTTGAGGAGGAGGAGTGATCTTCTACCATAAAAGACTATTCCGAGTTCACACATTAATGGACTTCTGAAGGCTGCCAGCTTTGCTAATTCCAGGATCTTTTTAATACAGTGATTTATAAGTTCCCATTCCTATAAACTAATTTCTTGCATACAAGAATAATAATTTCTGAGCAGCATTGACAGTGCAAAGGTATCTATGCAGATTTATGCACTAAAAATTTAAATGTTAGACTGGAACAATGAACAGTCTCCCAGAAACCTCAGCAGACATTGTATCAATGTCTTTATAATGTCTGCACTGTAGAGCTTTATTACTTCCTCACACACTTTGTTTACTTAACAATGTAGTGACTTTCTGTAACACTACATAAATTCCTTGTGTCCTTCTGCATCAGAATAAAAATTCAAAACTTCTGGCACCAGAGGAATACAGTTACACTGGACATAGGAACTTTCTTCCATACTAACATTCCACATAGAGCAACAGCATAGTAACTATGTGGTATCACTGTACCTTCTTTAAATAGTAACATTGAGAGCCACATACTGGGCACAAGGATTCTACTGGCAATCCTGTTTAATAACAATGTAACTATGCAAGAGTTCACTCAATAAAATAAGAGGGTTTTACCTGTCTCTCATTATTTTTGGCATGCAGAAATAACACCAACTGACTTTTGATGCTTTGTTTTACTATTCTGAGTGTGTTGGTTAACATAATGCAGGCTTATCAGATGCTGGTTTGTCCCTGTTATTTCACTGATTAATGGAATGGGGTTTGTGTTTGTTCTCAGAGCAACACCATGGGTGTATCTCACATGAAGAGGTGCACAGTTACGGAATCTGGGCACAGCTCTTGCTGTGGCCCCAGTGTTTAAGTTAGGCATGGTTTTAAAGTATGTGTGTTCTGAATATTTCAACAGGATAAGCTGACTAGCAGAGACCATTGTGTCATTCTGGTTTCCTTAGCTGAACAGAAGTCCAGGCAATCCTCATTTCTGCAAACCAACTTGCCTTTTCTTTCATTGCAGCACATGCCCGTTCAGCCGGCCTCCCTTTGGCTGTGGGAACTACTCCAGCCCCATGCCTGAATGCCTGGGCTTTTGTGAAGGCAGGTACCAAAGACAGGAGGCAATGTTTTCACCTCTGGATGGAAACTATCCTTTCAAGGGATACTCAGAAGAAAACATACGTGAGAAGCACCACAGCTGTGAGAGCCTTGAAGCCATGTCCATCTCCAGCAAGGAGTGGTATTCCAGCCCTCTGCCACAGCTGGACATTGAAACATTGGAGGAGGTTTTGTCAACTGCCCCACCTAGTCCCTCCAGCAGCCAAATAATCAATGTAACTGACAGTGACGAGGAAGAAGATGTAAAGTTGTTGCAAGAATTGTAATTTTTTAAACAAGTTCCAATCCAAAGAAATATTATAGAATGGGAAATGCTTCCTTCTATACTGTCTTTTTGGTCAGCATGTTCAATGGAAAGCCCAGGTAGCTTGAGAGAGCTGTACAGATCATTTTGAAGAGTCTGATGAACTGTTTGTATATTGAGAGATCACAGGCAGATCAAAAACCTCTGAGGTTTCATCTGCTTCATCAGAGCATTGCTTGGGCTCTGGCTCAGGAAAACACTTATACAGGAGTTCAGCTCTAAGCATGTGATAATGTGCTTTCCTTAGGAGAGGTGTGCTTCAGCACATCCTTTTAGTGCCCAAATAGCCATTTTAATGGTATTTGTCATTATTTTGCAGGCATTACTTTTGGAGTTTTAGCAAGTGAAATAATTCTTGTGTTCTGACCATAAGGTAATTCTTGCTGCAGAAGGTCTAGAGAGTGAAGTCAAGAATAATTCTGCAATACTTTATTTTTCCTTTGATTACACAGTTTTGAGCTTCATTTGGATAATTTTTAACTGTATTCTGTGATACAACTGCTATATAACACACTGAAAATGTACATCCATTTCAGAAATATCAAGGTCTGCAGCTAATTCCATTATTAAAATTGGGTTTGTCCAGAAGGAGTGGTGAGGCATGGTAGCACCCAGGGAAAGGAAAATGGATGGGATCTGGCCCTGTGACTTACACTAGTGGGCTGTGACTTGACCCCTGAGCATAGTTAGTACTGTAAAGAACTATCCAGGGAAAACCAAAGTCTCTGAAGAATATCCAAAGCTTTTAAGAAAAAAATCTGTGCTGAACCCAAAGATTAATGTTATTCAACATTTTTTTGGCCAATATTTGTTATTTCAGTAACTTTTTTTTTTTTTTTTCTACCCTGTTGTTTTGCTGTTGTTTTATTTGAATAAACTCACTTGAACAATGTATCCCCAGTGCTTCATTTTAAGCCATGGACATTGAACTGAATAGGGACAGGTAAATTGTAATTCATACTAGTGTATGTACATGTCTGTGGGAGTATTTATATTTATATTATGTAAATCCAACTACCAGAAAAATATGGGAAGAGCTGAAAGCCAGGATGGAAGAAGTTCATTCATCCTGGGCTGCCAGACAATGCTAAAGAATGATTCAGAGGAATCTAGAGTGACATCTCAAATAGGACATCCTGTATTTCATGGGTTATCCCACTAGATCTGTTGGATCTTGAACTTTCTGTTGAACATGAGGCTTAGTTTCTGGTCTGTGAGCTCATAACTCCATTTTCCTAGTCTGAGATCAAAACCTCTCATTTGAGAACTACTGCATTTTGTAGTTAAAGAGCACAGAAGCTTGAGTGAATCCTGTCTACCCTACAGATTGGAACTGTGTTGTGAAAAACCCCTTGCTCCCAGCTGCATCTGCAATGCAGATCAATCATGAAGAGAAAAGTCTTATAAATAGTAGAAAATGCCTGTTTGTTTCTAAATTATCTTCTCACTGAAAACTGTTTTGACCTGCAGGAATGCATGTGGGCAAGTGTATGAATTCCTGCACAAGCATGTTTCAGAGCATAAAACAGCTGTTTGTGGGATTATTCTCTAGATTTAACTTTCTTCTTCTCCCATTTTCTTTTTATACACTAGGTAGTAGGATACAAGCTATGTTGCAGTGCACTAGAATCTAGACCAGTTGCTTGCCATGTACAATACAAATTTACTTCCTCCCATCTGAGGGTGTCCAGCAGTGATTGAAGGGAAAACACAATATTGTACTCTGAGTGGAAATCTGTCCTGTTTAATATCTCAAAAGCTGGAAGAAGACAAGATTGAGGGTTAATACATCCTGGATGTATCAACATGAAACAAAATACAGTTGTGAGCCACTGCTTGGACCCACCCTTGCTCTGGGTGCTGCATGGGGGGCTGCAGCTCATAGGTATGTCCATCCCTTGATCACAAGGGATGCAGCAGATAAGGAAACAGAACAGAGACTTCCAAATTCCCAGCTGATACTTTTAATCAGGCAGTTGGGATCCTGGAGGAAATGAGTCTGAGTCTGTGTAATTCCGAGATAATGGAAAGCCTGACCTTGCTTTGTGAATCAGGCAAATGTCCCATTGACTCCAGTAAGAGCTTATTGAGGAGATGGGTACAGGCAGGATCTGACTCACTCTGTGCCAGAGGCAGGCAGCCCTACAGCTTCTGGGCACGGTTAATTTGGCTGGGATACCCTGGATCTTCCATGCAACCGATGTCTCAGCAATGTGATATATCATATATATATATATATATATATATAACAACTGCACAGTCTGTGGTTATATTTTTATAGAGGGGCTTTCTGGTGATTTTAAATTAAGATAGCAATTCTCATATTACCAAGATCCAAAGATAAAAATATCACTGTACAACAAATGCAAATATTGCATGTATTTAATTTTCATGATCCTTGAATGCAGAGAAAAATCACACACAGTTTTTGGCCAAAGTATTTTAACAAGCTTAAAAGAAGGCTCCTTTTATTACATTTTTGTGCTGTTTTATTTTATTTTTTTTTAGCTGATTTTCTTTTAGAGAAACATATGGAATAGTCCTTATGAAGATTTGTTGTAATGGGAAGATTTTTTACAACCTTTCAGTGCAAACATGCCTATTCCTCATCAAAGTTGTTGGTTTTTTTTTTCCTTTGGGCAGACAGAAATTTTATGCAGGGATGAAAGCAGAATAGCCTAGTTTGTGTCTAAATTTGGCTTGCATTTTTACTTATTTATAATAAAGGCATCAACAATAGTGCCACTGTTTTCTTCTATATTACAGGCAGCTATAAATAAATGGGAGAATTCACAAAAAAATTCGAGGTTTCCCTTCGAGAGACTCCATATGATTAGAAAGGAGCTTTAATCTAGATCTCAGATTTTTGTTCTGAGAAAACATGATTTAATTGTGTGATGAAAATCTGTGACTTTCCTGTGGGCCAGCTAAAATGTCTCTTATAGCCTGCTCATCCTGATGATTCCCTCTAGATGTCCCCAAGATGTCCTCGCTTTCTTCTGCCAGTGTGACATCAGGAGTAAACCAACCTTCACAGGACCACAAAGGTTCAGTGTATGAAGTGCTGGGGACCTCTGTGAAAATTACAATGCAAAATGACAACTGCAAATGGAAACAGTCACATTTCCTTTGGGTGCAGTGGCAGGAGTCAGGAAAGACCTTCAGTAAAAGAGAGCTCAGTGGTTTCAAAAGCATAAATAAACCTCTGGACAAAAGACAAAACCTTTACTGTTCTCTTGCAAACCTTTATTCTAAATGGAATATTAATTTCCTGTCAGCCTGACTTACCAGTACACTCTGAAATGTAGCCAGGTGCAAATTCTCCCCATTTCTTCAGTTGGTTTCCTGGTGGTTCACCCTACACAGGCACTCTGAGTAGAGAGATGAATGGAAAGACTTGTGTGGGTAATGGGGGTCGATGGCTGCCTGCAGAGCAGGGCTGAGAGGTGATGCCTTTCCTTGCCACTCTGAGCCAACCTCAAAAAGCTGCACGTCAGCCCAGCCCTGCAGCCTCGCTCCTGTGGGAGCCCGGGACTCCCAGCAGAAGTTCACTGGCACAAGGGAAGGCAGTTGCTGCTCCTCATGGGCTCGGTATGTCCCAGAAGCATCTACAGCACCATGGAACATAGGTGTTTGCAGCTGGTGTCTTCAGCATGGCCCCACCAACTTGAACTCTCAGGAGCAGAGGGATTTAGGATGCCCTGAAAACATGGGTTAATCATGGTTGGATTGTTTAGACATAAATATAATAAACAAACAAAGAAATAAACAAACAATTGAAGCCATAGCACAGCTCCTTGACAATGATTTGGCCGCTGTCCTCCTCCAGGTCTCTCCTCGGGGCCGGCTTTTGGGGCACAATGGATTTCCGTGCTGGCACCAGAGCTAAGGCGGGGCGGGG